TTATTAATTATGCTAATGACAAAGGATGACAGACGTCGTAATGTGATGGAATATTATATATCTGCAACGAAATTATTGGTATGTGTGTAATGAAATGACAAAATGGGTGCACTGTGTGAATACGAAATATATATATACACATGAAGTATTGCGTGTGGTAGGAAGGCTTCAGTATTTATCGACGTGTGAAGGTCATGCACTGTTATGTTTTGTGCTAACAGACTTACATCTTAGTAGTGGTTTTAATGATATGGACTTATATTTTTAGAAAGCTGACTTATCCTGTTTTCTTAATACATATTGTTTTTTCATGGGAGCTCTATAGAGCCAGTAGGTTTAGGTTACCATTGAATTGATATATATTATAGGGTAATTGATGGATGACATAGGATTAGGTATTTGTGTTTTCACTGGTTGTATTGTAAAGTGTATGTAACATATGTATATATTTATACCTTCCTGGAGAAGGTGATATGTTTGGGTGTTTAGTAGATATATGTTGTACAGAATCATGTAGATTGAATTTATATTATATCAATACATTGAGTGATACTGAACGTATGTTGTTCAATATGGAATAATGAAAGTATTTCATACAATATACAGTTACATATAAAGATTGTTACGTGTCAGGTGGATTGACATGCAAGAAGGGGGGGGGTAGTGTTTTCAGAATGTAAGGTGTACATTCCGTGGCAGGATGTACAATCAGGAATGAGATGTACTTGCCAAGGAGTCTTTAGGTTAGATTTAGTGTTCCAGACATAATGTCATTACTTCAAGGATTGGAGCGGTCATTGTTTACTGTACAGATTTCTTTCAGATGTAATATGTTAATTGGAAAGTACATGTACTATGCAGAAATTTTTATCACTGTTTTCACTATGTAATTTGTCGTTTATTTTTATGTACTATGTATGTCTTTTCAATAAAATATAAAAAAAAAATCTAGTTATATATATGCTCTGCATATATAAGGGCTTTCGGTATGTACACCCAAATGTCATTCTCCTTAGTACAAACATTGTATCATGCTGAAATAAAATATTGTTATTATTATTATTATTATTATTATTATTATTATTATTATTATTATTATGTTACAAGTAGATGTGAGTTATTTTAAGACTGCCAGATATGCTCTGCAAAACCAGGGGCTTTATATAATTTATGTCAGTATATATATATATATATATATCTCATTTTCTGTACCGACTGTAAACTATTTTTTATATATATATAAAAATAGAGAGAATCCTGGGGTTATTTTGAAGGTGTGTGAGTGTGGCAACAGTGACAGGAACACAACACTGCAGTTAATGGCTGCTTCTCTTCCAGTGTTTTATGCAGGTAAACATCCATGACTGTCACCTACTTAAGTAGTTACATGTGGTTGTCTCACAACCTTAGTTCTTCGTACTCTGTTGTGTAATACACTCCAGTGAAATTAAGCCAATGACTTTATGTTATTAGGTATTTCATTTTCAATGTATGATTCATCATTGTTCATTTTCGTTGCATGAGAATGTGATTGTTTAATTATTTTCGACTGTATTTGCTATATATTGAAGATATATTAACTGTTAAATGTTGTTTTATTGTATTTGTCCAACTTTTTGGGTTATCCTAGGTAATTTACATGTTATGTATGATAATTTGTATAACTATTTATGTGTACCAGTAACTAAATAAACTTATATACTAGTTCCTAAGGAGCAGTGCTGTATGACCCTTTTGGGTTTAGTGAATAACTTGTTTACAATAATAATTTAAGAGTGGATGCTGTATGACTCGTGCAGCTTTAGTTCTTAGTTATCGAGTATATTAACATACACCTTGGAATTCTATCAAGAAATTTGCCTAGATACCAGTGATAGGCTTTTGATCCTGGTTGATCAGGCCCTGATCCACCATGAGGCCTGGTCACAGACCGGGCTGCGGGGGCGTTGACCCCCGCAGCCCTCTCCAGGTATACTCCAAGTATCAATCTCTTGGATTGAACCTTATTGAGCCTGATTTTTTAAGAGAATTGGCAGGGAGGTGGTGGCTAGCGCGTTAATATTGCTGTGGATGGGGCATATTGTTGCTGAAATGTAATGGTGATAATCCTTTAGGGTAGAAAGCTGTGGATGTAAGATAAGATGAATAAGATTTTTTAAATTTTTAACTCAAGGGTTATTACTCGGGAAATCGAGAGGCGGTGTGTTTGGGGACTGTCTGTTTTAGTTAATTGGGGTCCTTCAGTCTGTCTCCCAGGAGCACCCAAACAGCACAAAACTTTGGGGTCCTACGTTCTAGGCGAACAGAACGCGGTGAAGGAAACGTCCCCAACATTTCCCCCCAGGGGGTGAATCGTAAACCCCTGTGTGGGTGAGGTGTTGCTAAAACCCAGCCGGGGCACTGGGGCTTTTTGTTGGCGAGGTTTTTGGGTTTTTTTTAAATTTCAAGTTAGTTTTTTTTAGTGTTTTTGGGGTTATGTTAGATTTCAGGTTATATTAGTAGGTTAGGTTAATTAGGTTGTTAAGTTATGTGCCCTTCCAGGGGGGTTTCTTCCCCCTGTTGGGGCTTGATTTTTGGGAAATTTAGATTGTGCTCAAATGCTTTTTGCCCCTTGTAGGTTTTTTTCCCCCTTAAAATTTTAATGTATAAGGTTATATTCAGCTTGTTAGGTGTTTGCGGGAAAATTTTTACTTGTTGGGTAACCTTTAATGAATTTTTTTTTTCTATTCTGGTGCTTGCATGGTAAACCAAGCGTTGTTGTGGCTTTTTTGTTTTTCCTAGCAATTTTTCTGAGAAAAAAAATTTTACCACACACACACACACACACACACCAACCATGTCATTATTTAAACAAAACCTCATTTCTGAGAAATTTCAAGGCACTTTTTTGCAACAAGTAGCCCCAGAGCTACGGGGATTGTCCTACGAAAAAAGGGTTTTGGGGGAAAATCCCCCTGACACACTGGAGGAAAGGAGGGTCGGGGGAACGGGTAACACATTTTAAAATACTGCGGGAATAGCGAGGTGGACAAAGACGGGCACAACAAAAAGGGGCAAAATTTGAAGTTGAAGATCAGTTGAATAAAGGGGGGTGTTAAAAAGTATTTCTTCATCATAGATAGTCAAGCCAGGGAAAAGCCTAGAAAGTGAAGTGTGGAGGCGGGAACCATACAAGTTTTAAGGGGGTATAAAAAAAAGCTCATGGGCGGGGGAGAGGGGACCAGTAGCATCAGTAAAGAGGTGGGGCCAGGAGCTGTGAATCGACCCCCGCAACCACAAATAGGTGAGTACAAATAGGTGAGTACACACACACACATACACACACAACATACTGTTGTTTTTCTTTTAAAAGATTCCATTTTTTTTAAAAAAAAACACAACCGCTCGGGAAACATGACAAAAAATGCTCATCTAACCTCAGCGAAATAACCGACCACACTGAAACTCGTCACCACTTTACACACAGTGTACTGCACAACATGATCTACACCGCCACCATATTTCACCCAGGAAACATGAAAATTTGATTATGGGAACTTTTTAATAGCATCTCGGATGTGATGGTGTACTGTGACTAGCGTTGGTTACCTTTCACACAGTCCAGTTTTATGTTTTCCCATACTGAATTGTCAAAAGTTAACATGACCTAATCTACCCCAATAAAACATAGAATATGAAACAAAGGCACTGCATAAATTAGGGGACTTATAACAGATCCCATTTTGGATTAAGTTTTGATATGTTGGGTTAACTTGATTGAATTTTTTGGGTCTAAATTATTATAATGATGGGATTGTAAGTACAAGTCCCATCTGACTTAACTGAGCTTGGTTTCCCCAGCCAAACCCGGGGTCACGAGTCAAAACGGACTCAAATCAAAAAATTGAAAATTGCCGACAACTGCGTGGGCTAATTCAAACCTTTGCTATATAAATACCTACATAATTTTGTATGTTTCGTTTTTTCTAAATATTTTACTCTTATGTCGTCCATGGGAAAATTATAAGTAATACAGTTAATACAGTATGATTGGATAGGGGAGGGTAATCAAGGTGAGCGCCCTGAGTGATGTGAGAGATCTCTTGAGATGGTCGCTGCTGTGAGTAGTGGTCAACCGTCATAGGGGGTATGCATTGGCCCGCCCAACCCTGCGCCGATGTACGTCATAATATGGTGTGGTATGTTAGAGGGTTTTAAGTCTTTTTACCTGTGCTGTTTTTTGCATAAAAAAATTTTCATTTTTCATCTTTTACAGTATAGACTTGCACACGAAATGGGTGGTGATTGAGTAAAGGGTATTTAACTCAAAAAATCTCTATAGAATTATTTTTTTTGTTTTTGGATTAAAAATTAAAAAAAATGCATGTCAATTAGTGTAAGGAAGCACATATAAGTTTAAAAAAAATTTTTGACAGTACATTTGAAATTCACTGTACGCTCCTTTTCTATTTTGTTTTTACGTAATTAGCAAAAATGATTTTTATTGGCTAATTTTCCTTTTTTTTTTAAAGTTAAATTTATGTTCTTAAATCAGCCCTTTCTCACCAAGGGAGGGTGACTGAAAAATTATTAATTATTTTTTTTAGTCGCTGTTAGATATACTTTTATATATTTTTCAGATAATTTCAAAATTGCACTACCAGAGTTGTTATTTTGTGTCAAAATTTTGAGGGGTTTTAAAAAATGCTGCTTTTGAAAATTTAAATAAAAAGGGAAAAAATGTCATTATCTTAAACAAACCTCATTTTTGAGTAACAAGGCTACTTTTTAACTCTTAACTTAAACGTTAGCAAAATTGTGGTAAATTTTTCTTAGAAATCTCTGTATCTAAAATCATGAGTTAGAAATGAGAGTCCCCTTCTTTTGCCTATTTTTTATGTACTTACAGTATCAGCTACCATTTTAACATTATTTTGAAAATTGTAACTTCATTTATAGACCCAATTTTTCATGGGGATAATGGGGAAAACATCAAAGAGTTTGTATGGGGAAATATCAGGATGATTGGAAGGTACACAGTGAGTTACTGTATATAATTATTCCATATATGGGATACTGTTTGATAAAATTTTAAAATTTTTAAAAAAGTTTTTTTCTTTTTATTTCGGTTTTTCGATCCCAGGAGTTTTGAAATTATGGCACTTCAAAATAAAGAAGGATAGATTTTGAATAAGTATTCGTTTTTTGGGTTGATGTTTCCCAAGATTTACATGCCTTTGCTTTTCCAGGGGGGCTTATTTTTTTCCGTCATTGGATTTTCCTGAGAACAACGTAGTATCATTGGGATCTGGGGGTAAACGACAGCAACTTTTTTACCCGAAAACATTCCAAAACTAAAAATAACAAGAAAAAAAATACATGTTTTTGAGTGTGAGCGAGTTCTTTAAAATACTGAAAAATTTGCAGTTCATATAAACTTTTACAGTACAATTTTAAAATTTTTGAATAATTATCAGACATGGGTGTTTAAAAGCTTTTTGGAAGTTTATAGAAAGGGGGGGGAAAATCCCTTCCTCTTGAAACCCCGGGAAACAAAATTTTTGGGTGTTGATGTTTCCATTTGGCTTCACCAAGCTGTGAAAGGTTTCCGAGGACCAGGAGGAGCTAATGTTGCAAATGCACATTTCTGACAATGTTTCATCGAATTTTGTAAGTACTTTCTATCGCATAAAAACCTGTGTTTGTCTTTTATGGGGTGTTCCTTATCTAAAGAAGCAGACCCTAGCATCTCGGAAACTAAGACGAGATGTTGCTGCTAGTAAAGCTAAACAAGTGCGAGAACGTCTTCTTAAGAATCTTCTAAAAAGTCAAGCTGTCCGTAAAGCTTTAGGAAGGGCAGGTCCTGGTCCAAATATTGCCCATGTAGTAAGAGCTCAAAAGAAAGAAAAGGATATGTTTGAACTCCCACCCCTTTCCAATTCTGAAAATGGTTTAACTTCTTTAAAATCTGAAGATTCTGAAGATGAAGGTGAATACATTTTAAGAAATTTTAAATTGCCAAATCTCCATCAGTTTAATTTTGAAAGCAATGAATTTAAATCTCTGAGCATAGAAGCACAACATGAAATCTTAAGTGAACTGCAAGATACACGTAAACAGAATTCCTGGAGTTGCATCAACGAAATGCCTCAGGAATCTGAGAACTTTGCAGAATTTCAAATGGGTAGACTCATAAAGAGACGTACTTTTCAAGCTACCTTAGACTCCACACGGGAAGAGATCAGAAAAAGAAAAGCTGCTGAAATGGAAGCAGAGATGTTTGGCGAGTTGGAGAAACATGTTAGTCTTTCACAGCGAATCATATCTGAAGACGATGCTCATTCTGTATTTGTGAAAAAGATAAAGGCTAATGAAGAACTAAATGATAATAACTTCTTAAAGGAAGACAAGGGTAAGTCGCCCATGAAAAGACCAAAAAAGGCATTTGAAAAAGATTTTTTGACAGAGTTAGCCAAACAAGGAGTTGTCAGATCCTATCATTCTGATTCAGATAATGATGATGATGATATATGCTATGAGTTGGAAAATTCAGACAAAGACGTCTTTAGTGGCAATGAAAATGAAGGTAAAAGACTAGTTGATATTGAAGAAGAAGGCTTTCTACATATTGTAAGCACACTGATGGAAAACAGTGGCTTGACACAGCAGGAGATCCTTGCCATGATAAAACAGGACAGCAGTAACCAAAGTCAACTGGAACACAAACCTAGAAATGAAGATGTGCCATCAACTTCGGATAAAGCTCCAGGGTTCGTTTTTAATCCTGATGCTGAGTCTTCTGATGATGATGGGGACTTCATAGAGGTTTCAGAAGCTTCATCCCAACATTCTCCAAAAAGTTCAAGTAAAGATGGTGCTGGTGCAGAAAACACAGACAAAAATAATTTAGATAAATTATTATCAACGAAGACTGACAGCTTATGGATGAAGATTATTCACCAAAAACTGGACGATTTGGTACATACAAATGCCTTTAATACTTCACCCAAAAAGGCCAGTTTAGACAGTCGAAAACTTGTTTGTAAAGAGGTTAAGAAAGATGTTAATAATGGTCATGACATTGAAAATTTAAAAGCTGTTAAAATTTCTTTGGATTTTGATGTAAAACCTTTGAAAATGGAAGATGATATTTTTGCTGACATTTTTACTGACATCAATAAACCAATATCCAGACCTGTTCTGAATCCTCAGAAAAATTATCCTGCAAGTAAAATTAAAATAACAAAGCAGGCTGTTAAAAACTTTTCAAAAAGGCAAAATGAAGACAGAGCAACAAATGGAACAATTGGTAAATTTACTGAGAATGGAAAAACAAATAAGGAGTTATCATTTTCCCAACACGGGATTGATTCTGTAGTGGAAGACAGTGTGTCAGGTACCTGTAATAAGATTTCTACCTTGGGAAAACTTTGTACAGATTACCCCAATATTATAAGTACAGATGCAGAGATATCCAGTGTGACCCCTGAAGATCAAAGAACCGATGAGTCATTTCAAACCAAGATCAATGAACTTGTAAACTTGAAAGTTGAGGAATTGGTGAAAAATGCTTCTCAACAAAATAAAGTAGTATTTTGTAAATCTTCTAATTCTGGAGAACAAGATCTAAATGATGTAGAACTTATGAGTTCTAGTGATGATAGTGATTCTGATGAAAGTCACATAACCAAAAGTCAACTTGAGCCATCAAAGAACCCAGGATTAAATGTTCATGATGATACACTAACAACAGACAGCAGAGTATTGCTGCCTTCAGATATTGATGTGAATGACACTGATCTTGTAGTTTTAAAGGAAAGTCACAAAAATGATCTGGCTACTAAAACTAATTGTGATGTGAAGCAAAAGAGCAGTCATGTTCAACAGGAAATTGAAGCATGTATTGAACTTATTGTAGAACAGCAGTCAAACCAGCCAGATGCAAGTCACATTAATTCATTGTCTGTAACAAAGTTAGAAAATAATAGAGAGGATGTTTCTGAGAAAAAACATTTCAAAGATCAGTCTGATTTTAAAAATAGTGAGAAGGCTAATACAGATTATGAAACATATGAGTCATCTTTAGATACAGTGGCAAATGATCCAGCATTGGAATCATTAAATGAAACAGTTGAAAGACCCCAGAATTACTCCAAGGATGAACTAAAATGCTTGGAGAAAGAATTGGCTTCAGAACAAGAAACACTTGTAGCACAGGCACAAAAATCAGATAGAATTGCTTCAAATTTGAATGATCAAATGTATGGGGAGTCACAGAAACTTTTACAGCTTTTTGGCATTCCTTATCTTGTAGCACCAATGGAAGCAGAGGCACAGTGTGCTTTTCTTGAATCTGTGAATCTCTCTGCTGGGACTATTACAGATGACTCTGATATATTTCTCTTTGGGGGCAGCAAGGTTTACAAAAACTTTTTTAATCAAACCAAACATGTAGAATTTTTTAATACAGGTAACATTGAAGCTAACTTAGGATTGGATAGACACAAAATGATATCTCTAGCTCTACTTACAGGGAGCGATTATACCGAGGGTGTAGAATCTATTGGATCTGTGACAGCTATGGAAGTTCTTGCTGAATTTCCTGGTGAAAGTATTGAATGTCTTCGCAATCTTAAGAAATGGTGGAATACTGCCCATAAAAATGTAACTTCTATATATGCATCTAAAGTGAAGCAAAGACTCTCTCATGTAATGCTTCCTGAATCTTTTCCAAATGAAAGAGTTTATGAAGCTTATTTAAAACCTGATGTAGATGAATCAAGAGAAAAATTTACTTGGGCTGTCCCTAATGTTGAAGCCTTACGCACATTTATAATGGAGAAATTTGGTTGGAACCTTGCGAAGGTTGATGAGATCTTAATACCAGTTATGAAAAAGTTGGGAGTGAAAGCTTCTCAGATGAGGATTGATTCATACTTTACTAGTATTAAGCTTGTAAAAGAACCTAAAATAACCAGCAAGAGAGTTCAAGATGCTATTGCAAAGGCAAAAGGACAGACCTCACCAAATTCAAGCTCACCAGCACTTAGGGATAAGCTTAAGAAATTCTCTACAAAAAGCAAATCTGAGAAAAAGAGGAGAAAGGTAATGGATCCTGATGGCATATTGGATGAAATTTCTGAAAAGGTGTCTGCTGGTATGGACAGTTTACCAGGAACTAATGAACCATCTTCCTCAAAACCTTCAAGAACTTTGTTAATGGACCCATCAGAGAGTAGCAGCAATGTAGTGGAACTGTCCAAGCGAAAGAGAAAGTATGAAAAGAAGTCCAAGAATTGTGAGGGGAGTGTGTCTGAGGAAACATCATCTCAGAAATCATCCACTGTAGATGATATAGAGCTGCAGCCACCAAGAAAGCTAACTAAGGAGATTATGTATAAAGCTCTTTTAGAAAAAGAAACCATCAGTCAAAGAGAATGTGATAAAAAGATGATGGAAGAGAGGAAAGAGGCAGCAGCACAGTTATTGAAGAAACAAAATGAGTTGAGGAAGAGGCACAGAAGATGAGCAATCTACATGTACAAATACAGTGTACCTATAAATTACAGTGGTATCTTGGTATATGTCCTTAATCCGTTCCACGACCTTGGACTTATACCAAACAGGATGTATACCAAACGAATTTTCCCATAAGAAATATAGGAAAAACGATTAATCAGTTACCATGAAAAAAATCCTATTGTTATGGGCATATTATACATTGATGGGGTTGTATAAAATAATTTAAACACTGCTTAGATACATACATAAATACAAAAGAATTAGATGAAATGCAAATTCAACCTCACTTTACTCTGCTGAAAAGAGTCAAGTGCTTACTGAGCTCCCTGAGAAGGGAGGAGGAGGAGGAAATGTTATTGTTTGGAAGGAGAGTCCCCTTCTCTTCTGTCTCTTTTCCCTATTTGGACCTGGTTGAAGCTCACCAGGTTTGACTTTTGCTAAAAATCTGTCCAAAGAACTTTGCTTCTGCCTTCTCAGGATGTTTCGGAAATGTGAAAGTGTCTGGTCATTCCAGACAATGCTATTACGGCTTGTTTGGGCTTTGTTGGGGTGGTACTTCTCTGCTAAGGTTTTGATGTCCATCCATTTGGCCAAGATTTCCTTGATTAATGAAGTAGGGACTTCCTCTGTGTCCTCTTCTGAGCCTGAAGAGAGTTCATCCATCTTGGTCTTGTGCTCCTCCTCAAGTTCCTGTAGCTCCTCAGTGGTCAGTTCTTCCCTGTGCCCCTCCACTAACTCCTTCACTTCACTTTCACTCACATCTAAGCCCATGGACCTGCCAAGAGACGCAATATCCTCCATTATAGACACAGCCTCAAAGCAACGGGCATACTAATGCTAGTGGGCATTCATGGATTTGTCTCGAGAGAGAGGTAAACAACGATAGAGCATGGTGTCGTGACTCATTTTGACCCATACAAGTTCTGGCACGTGAGTCGTATTCCAAACAAAGGTCATATACCAAGCAAAAATTTTCACGTCCGAACAGGATGTATACCAAGTTGGACTTATTCCAAAGCAGACGTATACTGAGGTACCACTGTACTTTAATGTATGTTTAATATATGCTCTTCTACCAGTGGTAAAATTGCTTAAGTATACAGGTACTTCTCAACTTATCATGGTTTGACTTAAGATATTTCGACTTTATGATGGTGCAAAAGCAATTATTTTAGAGATGAAATTTTAGATAATTATCCAACATGAAGATGGCAAGTTCATAACTTGTATTTATTTACAGTGGACCCTCGACTAACGCTATTAATCCGTTCCTGAGAGCTCATCGTTAGTCAAAATTATCGTTAATCAAGTTAATTTTCCCCATAAGAAATAATGGAAATCAAATTAATCCGTGCAGGACACCCCAAAGTATAAAAAAAAAATTGTTTTTACCACATGAAATATTAATTTTAATACACACAAACTGAAGAAGACATGCACAGTTACATGACACTTACCTTTATTGAAGATCTGGTGATGATTGATGGGTTGGGAGGAGGGGAGAGTGTTGATGGTCTTAGTGTTTAGAAGGGTAATCCCCTTCCATTAGGACTTGAGATAATATGAAATGTTCCGATTGTATGTTTGGATGGGACCATGGTGGTTGGCTGGCTTGTAAACACTGGCACCCACGGGACAAGTGAGGCAGGCTCAGGCCAAAGTGGACGCGTCTCGAAAGGAACGAATAGCGTTGGTCGGGTTTTTTAGCGCTAGTCGAGGCAAAATTTTTGCGTTAAAATGTATCGCTAGTCGGATTTAACGTCAGACGATGCCAGCGTTGGTCGAGGGTCCACTGTATTTACTTTCCAATACTGGCATGTGGTTACAGTAATTATTTTTTTATTTACTTATTCAGTGACGTTAGTTATTTGTTTACTTATTTATTTTGCTTATTGTATTCGACTTACAGTGGATTCGTCAGAATGTAACCCCATCATAAGTCAAGGAGCACCTGTATAATTTATGTATGTACTACTGAGTGTAGATGTACATTGGAACCTTGGTACTTGAACAGCTCCCTACTCAAACAATTTGGTATTTGAATGCTTTGTTCAGTAAAAAAAAAACGCTTGGTAGTCGACCGTTTGCTGAACACTCGACCAAACACACACAACCTGCCAAAACTTTGCTGTAAACTATTTCATGTTTCTTCACATTTTTTGGTTTTTATATTTGTATAAATAAGTTACCATGGGGCCTATGAAGAATAATGATAACAGCCAACCAAAAAGAAAATTGGTTGGGAACAATTTGTTAGGTACTTGAACAGCCTTCTGGAATGAATTAAGTTCGAGTACCGAGGTTCCACTATATTCATTTCCTGGATCGAAACTTACAATTTAAGTAAAATAATGGAAAGATGCAAAGTTATATAACAGAACATTAGTGTACACACTATTGCTTCAGTATAAATAAGTGTTAGTTTGTTGAGTAATGTCTATTTTTAAATTCCTGTATTGATTTAATAAAAAAATTTAAATTACATGTTTGGTTCAATATTTTATAACCATAATGAAACTCTCAGGGCCCCATGAGAAAAACTTTTTGTTTGACAGTGGGATTACTCCAGCAAAGCATATGCCATGCTCTAGGTGCATCAGATACAACATAATATAAATTCCAACATCAGTGCTCCCTTATAACTAGTGTAATCCTGCAAACTTTTTCCTACCTTCATACTTCTTACTTTTTTGTATTTGTTCTCTGTATAAAATGCCATAAAGGCTCAGTTATCTGTAGTAATGATGGCTTTAAATAGTGTAGATATTGATTTAAATAAACAATCTATGAGTGTATGCTTTAATTGGAAAATCACTAGAAAAAAAAAAGAACTGAGTACAGCTAAAGTTTTGTTCACTTGCCTTGGCTGAGCTGCACCCATCGCCACAGTACATAATTACTTTTACATTTGAAAAATACCATACTCAGGATGTGAATTAAAAATTTGCATTATTTAAAAAGTAAATACAGCAGGACCCCCATATCTGCAAGGGATAAGTTCCAAGGACCTGCCTTGGGTACTGAAACTGTTGATAGTAGCAAACCCTATATACAGTGGACCCCCGGTTAACGATTTTAATCCGTGCAAGAGGGCTCATCGTTATGCGAAATAATCGTTATGCGAATGAATTTTCCCCATAAGAAATAATGGAAATAAAATTAATCCGTGCAAGACGCCCAAAAGTATGAAAAAAATTTTTTTTTACCACATGAAATGTTAATTTTAATACACACAAACTGAAAAAGGCATGCACAATTACATGACACTTACTTTTATTGAAGATCTGGTGATGATTGATGGGATGGGAGGAGGGGAGAGCATTATTTCTTACTGTTTAAAAGGGGGAAAATCCCCTTCCATTAGGACTTGAGGTAGCAAGTCCTTTTCTGGGGTTACTTCCCTTCTTCTTTTAATGCCACTAGGACCAGCTTGAGAGTCACTGGACCTCTGTCGCACAACAAATCTGTCCATAGAGCTCTGTACCTCCCGTTCCTTCAAGACTTTCCTAAAATGGGCCATAACATTGTCATTGAAATAGTCACAAGCACGGCTTGCAACAGCTGTGTCAGGGTGATTTTCATCTATAAGGTTTGCAGTTCAAAACCCCCTCTGCACACATTTCCTTAATCTTTGAAGTAGGCACAATGGATTCCACAACTGGCATAGGCTTCTCAGGGTTAGCCCCAAACCCTTCAAAATCTTTCTTAATTTCCATACTAATTCTCACCCTTTTTACCACAGGGTTGGCACTAGAAGCTTTCTTGGGGCCCATGGTCACTTATTTTCCAGAAACAGCACCGAAAATACTGTAATAATACGAAATATTCCGAGTGTATGCTTGGATGTTACCGCGGAGGCTGGCTGGTAAACAATGGGACGGAGCGGCACATGTGAGGCTGGCTGAGGGCACATTGGACGCGTCTCGGACGAAAATCGGTATGCGGGTTTTTAATCGGTATGCGCGGCAAAAATTTTGCGATAAAAGTAATCGTTATGCGGAAAAATCGCTATGCGATGCCATCGTTATGCGGGGGTCCACTGTATAAGCCAGATACATATGAATTATAAAGTGTAATTGATAAATTATGCACGATAAATGGACAGTTATCACTTTTTCACTGATGGGAAGCACTTCAGGCTCCTAGGCTTTGAAGAACTGCCAGCTTCTCTATTTTTGTGCTTTGTTGCCATTATTATGCAAAATTAAGAGGTATTTTCAGGCCACAGTAAACTGTGGATAACTGAAACCGCGTATACCAAATCAATGGATACAGGGGTTCTACTGTGTTTTCTAGCTTAATAAAACAGAAGAGTACAGTAGCCTAAACTTAATTTTGGCTTCCATATACTGTCATGGCTGTTCTATGATCTTGTATTTAAGACCCATAACCAAAAAAATCAATTTTGGTCAATTTGAGATTTATTGACCTGGAGAGCATTAGTCTTTGTTGATACCTTGGGTTGCATGGGCTAGAACTTTCTTCACCAGGTTGGTTGCAGTCTGTGAAAACAAAGACGACGACTACTATTATAGCTACTACAACTACTACTGCTACTACAACTACTACTACTACAACTACTACTACAACTAGTACTACTATTACAGCTACAACTAATACTACGACTACTACTACAAATATGACTACTGTGATGGCCCCCCTGCCAAACTAGCAGTTAGATGGTTAACCTGCCGGCCGGCAGTACCAAGGGTACGTCATCAAACCCAATGTGGGGACTGCTGAGCCGGCCTTAGCAGCAGTAATTACCAGAACACCTTACAGTATAAATCTACTGGCAGTAGAGAGTATTCTCCTGCCCATCTTGTGGTATATCTACTGGCTTCTACTGGCGTTAGAGGAAGCGCTCACCGCAGCTTACTGAGTCTGTTGGCCTCGGTTACTTGATGGCCGCATTTAGTGAGCTTGCAACATAGTGTGTTCTGCACCGGACAACCTTGCGGTGTGTCAACTGGTCTTGAAGGCGGTAGACAGTGCTCACCAGACCATCTTACGGTGTGCTTCTGCTGGCCTTAGAGAGTTTTTACAGGACTACCGGTGATGTCTGCGGACTCACCGCCTACGCTGATCAACTATGGGCCGTGTCATTTGATGCTGTTTTAGTGGGACACTACATGAAGCAAAGGTTGGAGTGTGACACTGAACTGGGCTGGGACCGTAGTGTGACACTTAAGGAAGTATGATGGAGTGTAACACTGAGATATGCTATAGGACCGTAGTGGAACACTGAGAAGTAAAGGGTGTCGTGTGACACTGAAGATGATCAGGTTGTAGTGTACATTGAATAGTGTCATGTGACTGGCCTCTGAGAAGAAAGACGCTGTGGGTGATAGTGTGCAACACAGAGACAAGGGTGTCAAGAGTGACACAGTAGAGATATTGTGTATGACGCAGAGAAAAGGGTGTCGTGTGACGAGAGTAGGAGTATCATGTGACACAGAGAAAAGGGTGTCTAGTGACACGGTTGAGCAGGAGCGTCATTACACGGAGGAAAGGGTGTCAAGTGACACAGTTGAGAAGGAGCGTCACAACACACCACGGATAAGTGTCGTGTGACACAGAGCGTCATAAGGGTGTCGTGAGACACGAAGAATGCAGTTCATTATTATTTATTATTGTACAAATGTTATTTATAATTTATTATTTTAGCATAGATATATATAGTGACACAGTAATGTCTAAGAAAGTTGTACCCTGTGTGTAGGGTCATTAATTATTATTTATTATTTTACAAAGATGCTAATTATAATTTATTATTGTAACATGTATATACAGTGGACCCCCGCATAACGATCACCTCCGAATGCGACCAATTATGTAAGTGTATTTATGTAAGTGCGTTTGTACGTGTATGTTTAGGGGTCTGAAATGGACTAATCTACTTCACAATACTCCTTATGGGAACAAATTCGGTCAGTACTGGCACCTGAACATACTTCTGGAGTGAAAAAATATCGTTAACCGGGGGTCCACTGTATTATCAGATGTTTATTTAGAAAATACCTCTAGACCAAAGATTGTTTTTATATAATATTAAAGATTAATTTGTTTTAATGTGTATAATGTATCCCGAACTTTTATATTACTGACACTAATGTAAACCCAATTGATGTTTTTGTAATAACTACTTACCTTACTTTACTTATACTACAGGTACTCCTCACTTAACGAAGTACACCTGTTTAATGACCACTCGGACTTACGACCAACTCTGACCAATGTACTATATGTGCATTTTACTTTTTTATTGTTTTTAATGCCTAGTTCAATTTTTAATGTACTAAAAATGTTATAAAGGGTGCAAAGGTGACATTAAAACAATATCTAAAGATGGTTGACACAAACCCACTATCAGTACAGAACTCTGTCGTTAAGTGAGGATTACCTTTAACTTCTCAAAGGAGGTTTCTAGTTTCTAGTGAGCAGCTCTTAATCCAAGGAATTGGACCTGCCCTCCTCTTCCTTGGACTGAACCTGGATGCCTCCCATTCTCCCACATGCTACATAACTGATATGGGTTGAATGCTCCCCCATGAATATAATAATAGGTATACATGTATATGTTTAAAGTTCGTGAGCAAGCGAAATATTTACAAACCTTAATATCAGACTGGAGGAGACTTGAACCTACGAGCTCTGGAACAAAGTACACAGTACTGTACACATTATTCCACACTGGTCATTACTTTGACCTGTATTACATTGATGGACAACTATCGACAAGCATTAACCAAACTTTAATCTAAATTACATTTTTGCTTGTTCCGTAATTTTGGTATAACAAGTCAAATTGCTGATGTCATTGATGTCGCCACACTCACACCCTTACCTTATCTTCCCTCCTTGGCCTTACTTGTGACTCAAACTCCCTCTTTGACTTTTGACATCAACAGATTTATTACACAAACTTTGATTATACTTCCTTTAGCACTTCACACTGTCCTTACTAACTCTACCTCTTATACTCTCCATCCTCGCTAATCTCTGATCAAGCATATTAAACCTTAAGCACTCCCTATCCTGCAGTGCTGTATGCCTTGTGAGTTAAGCACTTAGTTATAATTATAATAAACCCATAAGGGTCAAGAAAAGTAAAAACTTAATCATGCCACCTATATTGAACAGATGTCTGGTGTTTAGGTGAAACGTTTCAGCAATAATCAATTTGTGTACATGTGTCTTATTCATCTTGTCTATTGTATAAAATTAATAATTTTAGAAACATCCCCCTTCCCTCAAGGGATGTTCCATAATACTGGTGAGGGGTTCTTGATCTAAGGAACTGGAGCCCTTAAGGGAGGTTCCTTGATGCTGGAAAGGACCTCTTGATCTAAGGAACTGAAGCCCTCAAGGGAGGTTGCTTTATGCTGGTAAGGGGCTCTTGATCTAAGGAACTGGAGCCCATGAGGAAGGTTCTTTGATGCTGGTGAGGTGTTTGTGATCTAAAGAACTGAGCCTGTGCTCCAATTACTTGAATAGAGTCTGAATGCCTTCTGATTCTTCAGGCATTGTATGACCCCTATGGGTTTAGTGTACCCCTCTTAAATGATAATAACAGTGGAATCCTATTAGGCTAAGCAAAATAAATAATTTGGATATCGAGAAACTGGATAACACAAATTCAGTCGAAGCTCTAGATAAAGTGAAAGAAACATTAATTGTTATGTGACCCATTTAGATTTGACACTTTCTTGTCAGCACAGGATATTTTATTTAAAAAATTTGGTCCCTCGGTAGAGGTTCCTTGATGTCTGTGAGAAGCACTTGATCCAAGGAATTGGAGTTACCCTCCCATTCCTTGGAATGAGGCAGATGCCAGTGAGAGGCACTTGATCCAAAGAATTGGAGTTATCTTCCCATTCCTTGTATGGAGTCTGAATGCTTCATATTTCCGAAACATTGTACGACCTTTATAGATTTGTTGCTTCCCCCCCCATAAATAATCACATTCCACAAGACATTGATCCATAATGGTTTAGTGCTCTCCTTTTTAAAAATGAAAAACAATTTATTCACGCTAAGTACATATTTGTATGCTATCTATTTCACAAGTGAATTGAACAGCACCTTAGGTGGGCAGAAAATATATAATGTGTGTATATATATATATATATATATATATATATATATATATATATAATATATATAATATATATATATATATATTATTTTTTTTTTTTTTTTTTTTTTTTTTTTTTTTTTTTTTTTTTTTTTTTTTTTTTTTTTTTTTTTTTTATTATCAC